TCTTGTTCGCCAGCTCCTCATTTCATAAGGAAAACAAATTTTCTCAAAAATTGTTAACTACTCTGTTAGTCATTTAAAGATAGATCCGAATTAACTTTAATTCCTTCATATTAAATGTCCTCGTTAACATCTTCTTCTTGATATTCAACCTCTCCTTCTACATGGTCAATATCTCTTCCTTCACACTCAATATAATTTCTTTTTATTATATGGTCATCTCTGCAAGGCATTTCCTATTATTATACGATCATATGTAGATAATGTACCTTAAAAAAAACGACGTGTTGCACTCCGGCAGTTCCGGCAGAAGTGAAAACTTGAATATTAACATTGTGGTCGTCAAACGAAAATTATGGTGATTTGTTAACCACCATGTTAAAACTACGTTGTAAATTTGGACAGTCCTTAGAACATTATTATTATGATAAAATGTCACTGATAAATAAATGCAAGATAGTTGGCGCGAAGGCAGTTGGTTGTCTTATCCATGGCATCGATGATAAATTTGTGCATATGGGGGCGGGCGTTTGCTTATTTAACGAACCAGAACAAGTTTTAAATTATTTAAGAACCATATCGCAACATGATAATAATGGAATGCAGGGTAATATTCGTAATCGTAGTAATGTAAATTATAGGCAGAGTAATAGCGCGGTAACGGAGCTGGTGAAGAGTAATGATAATAATAGTACTGTTAGATGTTTTAATTGCGGTGAACTAGGGCACATAAGCTTTAAATGTAATAAACCAATAAAAAAATGTAATTTATGTTTCAAATTAGGCCATGAAATAAAAGATTGTCGTAAGAGGAATATAATAGTTAATGATAAGGAATCAATAAATAATAATGCGGAACAGAGTATGTCATCTAAATGATGATAGCGGAAATGACAAATATCATAAAAATGTCATAGTTAACGATAATAGCATGAAAGGGTATATAGACTTAGGTAGTAAGTGCACGTTGATCCAAGAAAGTTACGCAAAGCTTTTTGCGCTAGTTGTCATTGGGAAAACAACAATTTACCAATTCTACAAGGGTTTGGAAATTCTGTAGTGATGCCATTAGGGAGAATCAGAATAGTCATAAAAATAGAATCAGTTAGGTTGGTAGTGGAAGACCGTTACTTACGAACCGCTTTTTTAATAGGCCAGTCATTTACAGAGAAACCTAATGTTATACTTCATAAAACAAAAGATGAATTATTACTTATTTCAATGCCTGATTTATATGATGACGATAGTTCTAAAGTTAAAATATATGACGAGAAGGATATAATTATCTGCCATAATACTGCCATGTTTATTGACGTGATAGATGAGAGTTATAGTGGTAAGTTGTACGTGCAGAATAGTCTACATAGTGTCCCAAACAATGAATATGTTTTTCTACCCGGATTATTTTCTATTAATTAAAAATCTATCAAATAGTCAAATAACATTACGCAAGGATACATTATTAGCTAGAGGTCTTAGGATTAATGAAACTCTCAATACGTGGGGTTTACCATAGAAGCTAGGGCTTCTGAATCTTTGCCTATGTCCAGTATAAGTTTAGGTACACATGTTACTGAGAAACAAAGGGAGACATTATATCTTGATACACACATATAAATACATAATGATACAGAGTAAATGAACGATGAGATGAACTCGGTGATGCTTGATAAAATGATGATTCATTGCCTGGTCGGTAATAATTCCTGGTAGTGCATTGACTAGTTGTTTGTAATCTAGTGATTTTGGAAAGTGTAATTTACTGAAGGTAAATATGTATAAAAAAGTGTATATTGTTAGCAAATATTTAGAGAATATTTGAAATAAATACTTTTCCTGTTAAGTGTATTATGAAGCCCTTTTATGTCAATTATGGTTGGAAAATAGTTAAATGTGATTGAAGTGATTATTAAAAACATAAAATATTATAAATACTAATTATTAATGGGACCGCTCTTCTTTTTAGTATACTCTAATAAGCTTCCAGAAGTAACTGAACATCGTTGCATTCTTTTTGCTGATGACATATCAGTGGTAATAACGACTGATAGTAAAATGACAATTGATGACCATATAAATGAAATTGAAAAAACAATTGGATTAATTATAAATTGGCTTCAACATAATAATTTAACTATTAATTATTAATATTAATAAACGTGTTACATAAATTTTAATAGTTCCGTTGGTCAGTCATTGAATATAAATTACCACGGACAAAAGCTTAAAAATGCAAATACAACCGAATTCTTAGGCATAGAAATTGATCAAAAATTAGATTGGAAAACACATGTGGATACTATATGTAATAAAATTAACCGTTTTATGTTTGTTTTCTATAAGTTGACGACAATAGCTACATGGAATACTGCTCTTACAGCCTATTTTGCGTATGTAGAATCAGTTTTAAGCTATGGTATTGTTATATGGGGAAATAGTATAGAAGCAAAAAGGGCATTCATTACACAAAAAAAAATGTATCAGAGCTATATGTGGAACTCCGCCTGATGAACCGTGCAGACTATTATTTAAACATTTAAAAATATTACCATTGCCTTGCCTATACATTTTTGATGTTGCTAAATTTGTAAGGTTAAATATGCACTATTGCAGGCAAGCTGTAGATATATATCCACGTAATACACGAAATGGTAATAGATTGGTTTCTGCAATCATTCCAAATTATATAAAAAAATGCCTTTTAAGAAATTTAAGACTGCCTTGTACTATATGACAGGATGTTTTACAGTGTTAAAGAATATTTATGTAATGATTGCAGCTAGTGACAGTAGATTTTACGTTTTATGATTTGTATTCTGCACTTGATTGACATTTTTATTCTATTGTATTTTGATTGACATTTTATTCTATTGTATCTTGATTGACATTTTATCCTATTGAATCTTGATTGGCATTTTATTCTATAATTAACATTATTAATCGACTATCTTATACACATAATACATAAATTAAGACTAAACTGACAGTTGTAATTTTGCTGACGATAATATAATGTAGTTCGCTTTTTGTAGTATTTTTAGAATTTATTATTGGTATGTGAAATTGATGGCTTAATGATTATTAATAATATTAATGTAATAAATGCAATGTTAAATGTTTGTATGCTATTGTAAATGACAGAATGGACAGAATTTGTATTACAAATAAATATATTCTAATTCTAATGTGATAAGAGTGAGTCGTTGCAGGTGAGAGTGCCTGTACTGATATTTAGTTATAAGAGTGAGTCATTGCAGGTTAGAGTGCCTGTAATGATATTTAATTATAAGAGTGAGTCATTGCAGGTGAGAGTGTCTGTAATGATATTTAGTTAAAAGAGTGAGTCAATGCAGGTGAGAGTGCCTGTAATGATATTTAGTTATAAGAGTGAGTCATTGCAGGTGAAAGTGCCTGTAATGATATTTAGTTATAAGAGTGAGTCGTTGCAGGTGAGAGTGCCTGTAATGATGTTTAGTTATAAGAGTGAGTCATTGCAGGTGAGAGTGCCTGTAATGATATTTAGTTATAAGAGTGAGTCGTTGCAGGTGAGAGTGCCTGTAATGATGTTTAGTTATAAGAGTGATTGCAAGCGAGACTGTCTGTAATGTTACTTAGTTTAAAAAAAATATATAGAGTGAACCTAAGTGAATAATTTAGGGAAAGTGTACTTGATAATAACAAATGAATGACACCAATTGTTATTTAGTGATGACCACTAGCCATCATCGCTGATTAACCGCATTTTTTTTGTGTGTGTGTTGTTTTTATTACAACGCGAGGACGCGTTGGATGTCAGGATTAGCCGAATGTTAGCTTATGATCAATAATAAATCGAATAATTGATATTATTTAGTAGTAGAATGTTACTTTTCTTAACTGGCAACTCCGTCACTCGCGCCACCTTTGGTTTTTGCTGTTGGTTGCGCACTCACTTATTTCCTGACATCGAGCGAGGACGGACGTTCTATGTTCAAAAGCTGTGTGGATTGTAAAGGCCTGATTGTAGAAGAATAAATTATTGTACGCTTCTGAAATATTGTCTTATTCAATACAACGTCGCTAAAGAAGATTTCACTTCAAAAAACAATGAGCGTAATGCAAACCTCTCGGTTATACAATTACTGTTATAACTTAATATTCTTTATGATCTTTTTTTTATAAAATATATGCTACAAAATAAGTGTTCGTCCCCAATTAAAACGTATGTATTATATAACCTTATATGAAAAAATACGACGGGTCGCACTCCGGGAGTGCCGGCAGTAGTGAAAACTTGAATATTAATGTTGTGCATTTTTGGTACTTTGGAATGAAAATAATATCATTTATGTGGTAGAATATAATATTTATTGCGCTATCGTACACAAACATGATAATTTATATTACATTAAAAAGTTGATCTCTTAGAAAAATCAACTTACATGAATCACATTTAAGCGCACCTAGCGACATCTATTGTAAAAAAATGCATTTTCTTCGCAATAAAGCTGCCACCTGGACGTCCTAGTTAGAGACTTATTATTATAATACGATAAAATAAAATATTACTATGTTTCGGCCAATATATTGAAAGTCAACAACCTTACCAATTTTATTGTTTTCGTCTTACGCCACGTGTCCTGACGCGAGTTTAACATTTTTAACCCATACAAAAAAGCGTACAACGCCACTAAAGAAGTTTTCACTTCAAAAATGTTCTTTAAATGAAAGATTCTTGCATGACATGACAGTTATGACATTTATGAATGACGTCCTAAAAGGGCTGCCAGATCAAATTTTTCTGCCCCCCTAGCATGAGCACCGCGATATGATATATAACTCGTTTTTGTCACGCTGAATTATATGGAGTTTGACAGTTAGACACGATAAAAATCTTGTTATAATGTATATTGTGGTGCTCATGCTACAGGGACTGGTGTGACCAAATTATTCACTCTGCAAAGTTATCGTGCTCCAACCGTAGCTTGGATATAACTGTGTTTTAAAATTGCATTTTTTTTCAGATATGGTGTATGTGCTGAGGCGGATTTAAACTAATCATCAATCTAAAAATGGATGAAGGTAAGACATAGTTTTTATACATTCATGCATATTATTCATTCCTAGTCAATTAAATACTTTTAAATGGATTTAAGAGTAAAGTTTGTTGTATCAAAAGGTTAATGTAAGGTAAGTGATACAAAAAAGGCCTACTTAATTTCAAACACTATATCATGATAATTTTTTCGAAGAAGATGATAAAAAAAAGCAACACATTATTCCTTGGTTCATAAATTTTAAGTAATTAAGAAAACATATTACAATCTATTATCAGAAATGACTTAAAAACTGCTAATTCTGGAACCTTAGCCTTAGGCCTTTTAAAAACAGTGACTTAACAAAGCCTATGTACTTAAATTATAGGAATATTATTATTAGAGTATAAATTATATCAAAATATGTCATTCTGATCCTTAAATCAAGTTTTTCCATGGAATCCTTGAACAACATTCTAATTTATTTTACTAAATATTTATTTAAATTTCTGGTCAGATTTGAAGTCGCATAATAACAAGAGATAAAGAATAATATAAAAATAATCATATCCAAACAAACAAAAATTAGCAAATTAACATATCTTCTCGTAAATATGATTAAATTTTGGAAAACGAATATATTTTGATAAAATTAAGGCTTTTTATAAAATTAGGCTTTATTTGGTACATTATATTTCATAAAAGTTATAAGTAGTATTTAATTCGCATGTTCTAAAAAGTTATTTTTTAAGTCATAGTCAACTTTTTGATTAGGTATATTGTGATCCGTATATATTACATGAAACAAAACTTCAAAGAATAATGTATTAAAATGCGTCAAAGATTACGACAAATTAATAACGCGCTATGAAAAGCTGTTCCTTCACAAAGTAACGCCACTACTGACGCTATGAGCTCGAACGGACCGCTCGTGCACAGTTTGCCGAGTTGTAGAACTGTTATCTATGCGTGTGTAAAGTATTTTTGATGTAAACATATTTTAATAGACTTTTTTGCACTACAGGCCTTATTTCAGCATAGGCCTTATTTGTATCAGGTACTGTAACTACTTAGTAGGTTAAACGGTGTCGACTTTTACCGCATGGTAATTCGCATACTAACTCACCACGCAATTAAGTCATATCTAGGGCTTTGATCTCTCTCGAAAACTTTGGAGCCCTTATTCAGTTCATAGGGCCAATGTTATATGTACGTATGTGTGTATTTCAACAGCGTAGGTTGCTCATCAGATTTTAAAATATGATTGCTTAGCTGCCTGCACCAACTTGTTTTTCCGATTTCTATATCTTCACTTCGTTTCATTGTCCCTTTGATTGAAACGTATCCCTCACATACACATCAAAAAAAGTTTGAGATCATTTGTAAAAGCTAATATATTTTCAAAATTTAACTTAATCAAGAGAAAATGTTTACGTTATATCATTTTTTATTTAAAACACACTTTCTGAAATTAAAAATAAAACTAATTTTATTTATAAGTATAAAAAAAATAATAATTCAATCCTAAGGCTTTATTGATGTAATAGAACTTTGGTAGAAATAAAAAGATAATTTAACCAAACTTAAAAACCTTTTATTAATACGAAATAACTCCTCCTCTGGGTCGAACACATACGGAGATCCTCCTGGGCATGCTGAGGATCAAGTTATGCAGCATTTCTTGTGGTAACCTGTCCCATTCTTGAACAGCAGCTTCCCTGAGCTGCGGCACTGTCTGAGGTGGTGGCTGCCGGTTCCAAACAGCTCGTTTATGAGCATTCCATGCGTGCTCTATTGGGTTTCAGTCAGAAGAGACGGCAGGCCAGACTAACCTTGTGATTTCGTATTCTCGGAGAGCAGCATTGACTCGTTGAGCTCGATGTGCGGGCGCATTATAACCAGTGCAAATTGGTGCTCATGGTTTACTCGGAAAGGTCTGACGATTCCATCAATAGCGACTGTTTTGTATCGGTCTGCCGTCATGAAGCCTTGTATATATATAAGGGATTAAAGGCGTTCTAGCCCCAATCATAATATCACCACAAAAGGACACTGATTTCCCGCCTTGCTAAACCGTTCCACTGGCCGTTCTATGCCTTTCAGGTCTTCTCCAAACACGGACGCGTCGGTTATCTGGATGAGTACTGATTCGCGATTCGTCAACGAAGAGGCAGCTTTGCCAAATGTTTTCCTCTTCGCCTTCTTCGTTCTGCCGGAGCCTAGCCCACTGTAATCTCCGTCGCTGACGTTCCCGTGAATTCAAAGTTGCTCGCCAAGACCTCCGTGCTTGTAATCCAGCCTTGTGTAAGCAATTCCGAATGGTCTGAGTGCTAACTTCAAGTCCGAAGGCGGCCGGTATTTCTGCTTTTAATTTAGTGGCGTTTATTGTTGGGTCGCGGGCTACCAGCAACCTGAGTAGCAGAGTAGCGCTTCTGAGCAGCTGTCAAAACAGTTGGGCGACCGTTGCGCGGTCGCTCAGCTAAATTACCCATGCCGTGGTACCTCTGCCACGTGGTCACTACGCATAATTGGGATATGGCAACTCTGCGTGCTATTTCTCTCGTAGAATAGCCTACTTCCCTCAAAGTTACAATTCTGGCTCGTAAAACATCTGATAATCCTTGTGGAATTTTTTAAATCACAACTTTCCGTGAAAATATATTTTAAATTCGATAATATTGACTAAGTCAGATTTCTGAATGAGTGTCAGCTTGGATTGCTTGTCTTTTTATATGGAAAAACAATTGAATTATTTTATTGTTTTACGATCTAATTCTTATTTTAAAATTTAGAATCTTATCAGAAAAAGAAATTACGAATAAGTCTTCGATAACACAAAAAACAATCTATTTTTCAAAGTGATCGCAAACTTTTTTTTAATGTGTGTATATATCATTGAATTCAAGTTTGTTTTTTGTGTACATATGGTTATGTCAATCTACAGTTTTTGACTCTGTAGGCTTGTTGCATCTAGTCCGATTTCAATTCATGTCGTAAAATTCCCAGCATGAAGTTCATCCTTCTACCATTATTTTCCATCGGATGTCGACTATGGAACTTAAAATTAATCCACACTTAATTTAACGCTTTGCCTTGCCATTAATATTGGGTATGAAAAAATTGCATGCGGTGGAGATGACAATGCTGTTATAGATGTGAATAGAATGTGATGAATTTTGAGAAAAATAAGAAAAGGAAATTTGAAAGTTGCTTGAAGATGTAAAAAAATAATATGGTCTAGTTATATTCTTTCATAATGGAACGGAGGAATGAAGTGCATGCTTTGAGGATGGTAACGCATATGAATGTATGGAGATGAAAAGGCAGAGGAAGATGAAAGCCTAAAGTGGGATATGAAGGAGAAAAGAGTAGATATTAAACAAGTATAAAGTATTAGAAATCTGGCGAATGAATTATTTTTATTACCTATGTATAGTTTCGTAATTTTATTACTATTTTTTGAGTAATATAAGTAATTTACGGGATTGTTACCATGTACCTTGTTTTTAGTGAATATATCGGAAACTCGCTAAAAACAAGGCACATGGTAACAATCCCGTAAATAACTTATATTACTATAATTTTAGTGACCATGAAAGTTTAAAATAATATATTTTTTGAGTGTTTAGTATCAAGAAAAGTCATAACAATATTCTTGTGTAATAAATTCGTACTCACTTATATGTGACAATGTCAAATTTGACAATGTCACATATAAGTGAGTACGAATAACATTTCAAGCTCTGATTAATTATATTTACTATTAGCAAAGTAATTTAGCAACATAAATTTTTAATTTTTTTTTATTATTTTCAGAAAACGTTTTACAAGAAATGGCTGCCTTCGATTTAAGTAAGCCATTTAGTGTAACAATAATATGCGATGATGACGAAGACCAGAATAAATTACGTAAAATACGTAAGAAAGAAAACAGTAATAATCACGACACTTCTTGCACTTCGACAGGCTCAAACAAAGAAATTGATCATACATCCAACATTAAAAACCCTGACATTGATGAACCTCAAAGCAACAATAACAATTTAAACAAAATTGAAACGAAAGACGCAACAGTAGCACCTTTAAAAAATAATAAGAATAACAAAGATTCCAACAATTATATCGATGACCTTTTAACAAAACTTTCCGAGTCATTACTACATATATTAGAAGCCTATTTTAATCATATTTCCAACGTACATCTTTACAATATTAATGATTATAGACTGCAAGATTCAAAAAGACGTTTCAATTGCATAAAACATCATTTCTTTCAACTTTCGTACTGTACAACTAATGTAATAATTTTATCAAGAGAAAACGATACAAAATTCACTGATAATTTTTTGGATAGTACCATGAAACTAGCTAAACAAAAAAATATGAAAATATCAGTTCAACAAATACAGCCTCTTTATTATGAATTGATATCCTGGGTGAAACAGGTGAAAAAAATGCAGACTTTACCAATAAACCCAGTGATTCCAAATTATAATAATTCATCTGAATTGCGCAAATACTTAGCCCGCCCACCAGTATCATCAGCTATGCCCGATTCTATAAATAGTAGTCCAAAAGCAAAAGTGTCAATTCACAATTCAGATACTCAAAAGCCCGAGATAAGAATCAGTCTGGAGTCTGATTCCCAAAGTAATGATATAATTAAGAATCGTCAACTGGAATATAGTTCACCAAACTATTATAACAGAAATACACAGCCAGGATTTGCTCATGTTGAACAAAGATACCCAAATTCTCAGTTGTTAAGATCTAACAACTACCAATTCGGTTATAATCTGACGAACGACGTACAAAATTTCTGTAGACCCAACGTGTCCGAAGTAACAGCTACTGCAACAACGAACAAATTCAAAGATTGTGTTGCTCATGAAAATAGATGCATGGTTGCTAATTGTCTTTGTCAGAATCCAAGCAAGGTAGATATGGCAAATCCTATGAATATCAGATTACCCCCTACATACCAAGAAGCAAATGTGTGGAAAAATGTATCCACACGTGAAAATAGGTACGATAACATTTCCAAGCAATATGAAGATGCAAATAATGCCTATAGTAACATGGATAATATTCTAAGACCGGATAGCGGTTTTATAAGTCCTCAGCAATTAAATTCCCCCCTGGAGAATATGGTAAGTATAGTTTATAAATACGTACTAATTTTTTATCTGCTTCCTAAACTTATTTTAGTATTCCTCGATGACTGTCAAAACAGTAGTAAACATGTCAAATAACATACACATGAAGTTAAATTGTTTCTTGTCGGTAATGATAAGAAATATCAAAGCATAAATTGACCATAATCTGAGTGTCATTATTGAGAGTTTTCTGAACCCTTAAGCAGCATAATTCCATTCTGATTATTATAAAACGAGTCTCCAATAAAGGGTAACTTAGCTGCAAGTCTTTTTTTCCATTACGCGATATTTTTAGTGTGCATATTATAATGTTACACAATTATAATGTATGAATTCAATATACCATGGGTAATCATATTCAGTTCGTGTAATAGCGTCTAAACCGTTTTAGGGTTTTTATACTTACGTAGGTACTGTTAAATCATTTATTTTTGAGTTCAAAATCGGTTGAGTACCTCTGATGGCTTGTGGGTGATCTAGGTTGGGCTTAAAAGTACAGTTCATTGCACGTTACGCTTATAAAAAAATGTACGCTACCAAAATGAATATGTAATCAATCATACTGAGTAGTGTCTTTTTTCCTGTAGGTTGTCCAAGATGTACAAAATACAACTACAACTGCAACTCCATTGATAACTCATGTGACGTCGCTAAATCCATCAGCGATGCATATAGCGGAAGGTGCTTGTCATGTTTGTAGAACCAGTACCAAACAAAAATGTCTGGGCTGCTACCAAACCTATTATTGTAGTTACCAATGTCAGGTAAAATATTCAACCAAATTTTTATTCGAAATACTCGTAAATAATACTTGGGAAATATGTACTTGTAAACTGTGTTAATGAATTTAATTGCATGTGTAGTGGAGTAACGGCGACATTTCTAAAAGGGTGCCAATAAAAAAAAAAAGATACGGGAGAGACGAACTCGCCTACCGAGGCCCCCATTCCATACAAACTTACAGGTACGCAAAATAAACGGCAGTATATTATTTTTTTCTTTATTTTAGAACTTGTACTAGACTTAGAAGTTTTATTTTTCACAACTTCAAGGGACCCGAGTTTTTCTTTTCTTTTACTCTTTACCTACATGCTTCTTTACGATAAAGGGCCTTAACAGACAGACAAATGGACAACTAAGTCATCCTATAGGGGTTTCTTTATTTGCTTGTCAGGCACAGAACCCAAAGTAATACACATAACTTTTCTACATATTTGGCTCATTGTTTCCTTATCACAGATCAAACCTCAGCTTATAGATTAAAGACGACGATTTTAATATTTCATCCACTCATCGTTGCTTTATTGTGACCTATTTGTAACACTAACCTGCACGACTATAACGAGGCTTATATATAGGTAATAACTTAATAAGTTTATTTATTTGAGTTTTAAAACTTCCGGTAACTGACGTATGTTATTAAATATTTCAACACTAGGTATATGTACTTATGATTTATAAATTGTTTATATTGAGCATAGCGACAGAAATAAATCTGAAGTGGTACCTACATAATGAATTCGGTGAATTATTTCGAGACAAAGCTGCGTTGTATTTCTAAAGAGCTGATTGTGTATTACAATAATAATTCAAGGTCAGAGCATATACCACACAATAGTCATATTTTTATTAGATTTAAAATTCTAAGCTAGGACCATTTGTAATTCTAACTAGCAAACGAACGGTTTTGTACAAGATTTAATATTTAAGTCAAGTTTCACCAATTTTTAATGATCGGGCACTAATAAATCCAGCTAAACTATATTATACCTACAATGATTAATTTCTGATATAAAGAGCTGCTGGCAGACACAACTGAACTATCATTTTGTACTGATTGTTTTGCTCAATAAAACATATTATTATTATTACCTATACTGTGGGGCTAGCATACATAGCTACAGTGGGATCCAATAAATCTTGAAGATCCAGTATTTTAGCATGTGTACATATTTGTAATTTCTATTGCTAAAGGTGGTGGATAACATCTCTGTTCTGTGTCTGTTCTTGTATTTTATAAAATAGTGGGAATATAAAAAAGTTTCGTTCGTTAGTTAAATTCCTTAAATACATTAAATTGTGCTTTCGTTAAATCTAAATCAACGAAAACACTTATGCCTTTTGATCCATTAGCATTTTGCTCTGGCTTGAGTTATTTGCGAGATTCAAATATAAATGCTTAGTAGCAGCACAATCAGCAAGTATTAATGTTTCCACGAGATTTGTTTCTATTCCTTCTCCTCTCGAACGTAATCCCTGAATAAAGGCATCGTAGATGTGTTCAAAGCCATAATCATTATTTAAAACGGTATTTTTTTCTTTTTATTGTTGATTCTGATGAGTCCACATTAGCGACACAGGGTCTTCCGCGTTTCCCAGAAGAAATAGATGGCGTGAAATCAGGTTCTAATTCTTCCGAATCCGGTAAAGTTACCAAATACTCTGAATTCAACCAATTGGCGTTCTTTTCTAAAAATGCATCCTTTTTCCTTAAAGCTTCTGCCCATCGTCTATTAAAGCTTGGAAAACATTCCTTTGAATAGCACTGATGATAAAGCACACGTTGTCTTCAGAAACATGATAGTCTTCTTTTAAAACTGTTGATAGAGATTCAAGTTTTCTTCCTCCTTCAATGTATGAAAGTAATAATACACGCTTAGAACACTTGAAAGTAGTAGTCACGTCTGTTTAGTTTTATTACGAACTTTTCATAGCTATATAAAATGAATCCACGCTTTATATATTGTTTGATAAATATGGGATATAATGCACACTGCATTCTGTTGATTAAAGTTGTATCGCAAGATGAGTGCAAAATGCACAGTGTTTTATGGAACCAAAAAAATTTACATGTTCAGGTTCTTACATAAATAGATTATTTATACCCTAAAAAGGCATGAGTTCAATTTACAGAAGTCTAACTCGAATACTTTTTGAGAAAAAAAATCATGAACTCATCGTGACCTTTGACCTATGAAATCTAGAATATTTTTTTATAAAGTGAATATTAACAATATATTTCTTTAATAAATATGTGTCAATCGGGCATAATCAGAGGCGTATAAACGCGTTTCTTTAGCTTAAAAAAATGCATTGGTTTGGGAGCAGCATTTTTTTTTTGTATTTCGTATTTATTGTTTTTTCTCCCTAAAAATGAAAAAGTGGAACCTAGAAGTTAGATAGAAATAAACCTACGGATATGGTCTATCATACAAAAAATAATCCACGTGTCACTTTTGCGGCGTTTAGAAGATATTAATTTTTAAATTTTTATGCTAGGGTTGACAACGAGTGTTTTATAGAACCAAAAATATTTACACCTTAAGGTTTTTGCATAAATCAATTATTTAAACCATAATAAAGGCAAGAGTTTAATTCCCAGATCACTATTTTAAGTAAAAAAAAAGATATGAAGTAGCAAAGTTTTTGGAATTTGCGCATGAAAATATTAACAATTTAATTTCCTCAAAAGACGGTTCCATATCTGTCCATGAGATATTTGCCACTTGCTAAGGAATTATTGATGGCATAATTTTGTAATTTTATTTTATTTATAAGTGTCCTAGTTTCCAAGAAATATAGTTTTTCTAAATTTCGACTTTTAATTTTTTTCTCCAAAAATCGGCAAAAGTGGAACCTGGATTTAGTACAGAATGGTTCTATAAGCCAAGTTCTATCACCCATGAAAAAATCAAGTTTCACTTTTGCGGTTTTAAGAAGTTATGACAGAATTTAGATAAAGGTCAACTTTCATGATCTAGGGTTGAAAAATATGTCCGTTTTTATAGTTGGCACCCGATGACAGTAACAGTTCATAAAATCCTCATGCACGGTGAAGAAATTATTGCGTCCAGTGCACTGCCCATCGGTATGCCATCTGAACAAGCAGCTGAGTCCCGAAATAAATTCTATCGTTCACACAGAGAGCATCATTGCCGTAAAATGAACAGGAGAATCACAATGACGGACCTCTTTCACCGTGCCCTAGAATCATCAGACCCGTTTATTTCTATGGCAAATATCAGCCAACGTCGAAAATATTCTAAGCGATTTCCCTTGCCTTCAGCTGTTTGCGAGCTCTTACAACCAATTGATGCAGATCGATTGCCGTTTCGAAGCAGAGGAAGATGCTGAAGATGAAGATTTTTCGAACGTCGCAAATGAAAGCAACCTAGAATTATTAAACGAAGATGATTTATTTGTATAAAAGTTAAAGTAGAGGTGTTGCATAAAGAAGGTGCCGGCAGGTGATGACACTATCCTAGATTGATTTTAAATGTGAATGAATTTCTAAATCCAAAATTTCATCACAATCGTTAGATCCGTTTCCGAGAAACCAATTACATACCAATATATTTATATTGGTACATACAATAATTGCTCGTTTATTTATTTATTATCTCATTTAGCGTGTAAGGCAAAATTAAAATGTGGCCGTCAAAATTAAAACATAAAGTATTCCTACATTATCACATCTACATTAGGTAGGTAGTATATGTAAGTATATTGTATTCGTCTATAAGTACAACACTTATTCAATTATAATATAATATAATTAATCAATTGATTGACGGTATTAATAACAAAAAAAATTAACATTTTCATTTAACTCATAGTTGACCTTTGTGACAACCCTAGATCATGAAAGTTGACCTTTATCTAAATTCTGTCCTAACTTCTTAAAACCGCAAAAGTGAAACTTGATTTTTTTATGGGTGATAGAACTTGGCTTATAGAACCTTTCTGTACTAAATCCAGGTTCCACTTTTGCCGATTTTTGGAGAAAAAAATTAAAAATCGAAATTTAATAAAACTATATTTCTTGGAAACTAGAACACTTATAAATAAAATAAAATTACAAAATTATGCCATCAATAATTCCTTAGCAATTGGCAAATATCTCATGGACAGATATGGAACCGTCTTTTGAGGAAATTAAATTGTTAATTTTTTCATGCGCAAATTTCAAAAACTTTGCTACTTCATATCTTTTTTTTTACTTAAAATAGTGATCTGGGAATTGAACTCTTGCCTTTATTAGGGTTTAAATAATTGATTTATGCAAAAACCTTAAGGTGTAAATATTTTTGGTTCTATAAAACACTGTGAAATGTAGATAAAACGCACTATTATCAATAAATAACTAATAAAAAAATTAAATATAACTCAAACTTATCAATAAAATATTCAACCACAATAGATAGAGGTTTCCGTTTCCTGACTCGTATCGTTCTTTTCGCGATAACTTAAAAAACTTAAAGTATCCGCAGCTGATTTTAATATATGTTATTAATGAATATTTACGCTGCAGAACAACATCAAATGTAATGCAAAGGGAGACGTCGGTAACTGTCAAAAGTCTCGATGAAGTTGGAAAACTTTATTTTTCGTCTCACTAATAGTAGTTTATTTTTCATTAAAAATTTATTATAAAACCTACAATATTATAATTAATTTAAAATCTATATACAATGGGCTTTTTAGAAATGTATAATACTTTATATCTATTCCCACAACGTTTTGAAAGAGATCAATTTTAAAATAATAAAGCGAACAGACCAGAAGTTGTTATTTTCGAATTGACACTTTGTCGTATTAAAAAAAAATCCAAATTTATTTCAACCAAAATTATTACATTAGATAAAAGTTCCACTCTTATACCATTAAAAAAAATTTAAAGTGCTTCGACGACATTAGTAAAAACGATTTCATAGTGCGGCGCCCCGTAGAGGGCCATACTTCTGATGACCCCAGCATACAGCTT